TGGTCAAGTGGGATTTGTGGTGGACATAGCGGCTCTGGGGCAGGTTTTCTCCGCGTACTTCGGTTTCCCCTGCCAATTCTCATTCCCACCAATTGTTCCACAGTCACCCTCACCTATCATCTGGGGCTGGTACAATAGGCCAGAAGTGGCCGCATTACAAGGGACTTAGTCCCGCTCCACTAGCAATAAAAAATACCATTATTTAGTGTTGAAGTTCGGAATTCCTGGAGCTTTACTCCAACTCCTGCTTAGGTTTTAGTTGAGTTGGGTTTCAGCGCAGGGAGGGTTTGCCTTAGATTTAATTTAATACGGCCCACTCCCATTTCCAGAGTGGGTGCCAGGATAAATTGAGCTATCTCTACTTCCATCTCCTTTGCTGAACTACTTCAGTCAAAGTCAGATGAATGTGTCTTTTCATTATCTTTAGAACTGCTATATTAAGTACCCTCCCTTGAATATCCAATTTTCTTACGCGTTATAGTGGAAAATTCCCTTTGTATTTAAGTGTGAGAAAAGAGAGGGGAAAATAGCAGAAGAACCAACACAACGAAAGGAAGGATATGACATGCTAAAGAACAAAAAGGGGACGACAAAAGACTATCCAGGTATATATCTGTCAAATTCTAATTTGATCCATGAACAAAGGATATCAAAACAATTTAATAAGCCATGTTACTTTCGTCTCACTATTGACGTGCGTTTTTATGACTTCAAGTTGAGTTGCCGCAAAACACTGTCACTGAGAATTTATGCGGTCTTCACACCTTTAGCGCGCAAAAACCGAATAAATGATCGCTGACTTTCCCTGGTGCATGCAACAAGCGGAGCGGTGATTCTGACGCCACTAATGGTGAAACACAACTCAGTAAAGAGTAAACCTATCCCTCTAACAGGCCCTGGAGGGCAATAGGGTTGTGATACGTCGAGGCTTCCACATTTCTACATAATCGCGGCTCATAGATGGCGGTGAGGTTGTCAGCCTTGCGCGTCGGCCGCCCTTTACCTCGAGGAAGATTCCTGGTACTTATTTCGGTTAGAGGCTGAGTCGACCCCATGGCCATAGTGCGGCTGAAAGGATGAGGTCAACTGAAAAAATCCAGTAGTCCAATCGAAAATCGAACCAGCGACCTTCCGGTTTGTAATACAGTACCTTAAGCAAATAAACTCTGTGGACTTTTGAGGATATTTTCTGGAGTATCCTCATATCATTTCCAGGTCAGAATATTATCGGAAGTGGAGTATATGAGATGCAGCACTAGAAAGGCGACAAGGGTTTGATTCTAGGAGCAGTCAAATTCTGTTTGTCTTTCAATGATTCAGCGCAAGAATAATGTTATTTTTGTTCTCGATGATAAGAAACGGCAGTGTTTACACCCGGTTGTGTATCTCGCTAACTCCCAGGACTCTTTCCTTTAGACGATTATCTTAGTCCCCGCAGAATCTAATAGGGCGACATTCGTGATGCACGACTTTTCCATTCTATCCTCTATTCTACCATTATCACGTTCCCTGGGCACCGTACTGACGTCAGATGCCTCGCGCTCTAACACAGCCAATCCTCGTTTCCCCTACCCGTTACCATACTCGCTTCGGTTGTTTAAAACGTTTTTCTTTTGTTTTTGTGGCACCTGTTCTAATTGCATTCGCATATATCAGAATGGACCTTATGTGCTCTTACATTTTGGTTCTCTGTTTAGGTACTAATACCATGGATCCCAATTATCCTCTCTCTCTCTCTCTCTCTCTCACACACACACATATTTATATACATACAAAATATTATAGGCATGAAATTATCACTGTGTTGTCATGGCAACGAATTGTCGAGAATTAGGACGTTATATGAACTGCGTCACGAAAGAGAGCGACGAACTGCATACCCTGCACCTTTCGCTCAGTATAATTAGAAAGATCAAGTCAAAGAGGATGAGATGGGACATGTATGTAATGCGAATGGAGGACAAGAATAATACATATAGGATATTGGTGAGAAAGCTAGAAGGAAAGAAACTACTTGGAAGACCAAGACGTAGGTGGTTGGATAATGTTAAGATGGATCTTAGAGAGATAGGCTGGGGTGTTATGGACTAGACTGATGTGGTTCAAGATAAGGACCAGTGGAGGGCTCTTGTGAACACGGTAATGAACCTACATGTTCCATAAAATATTCGCAAGTTCTTGAGTAGCTGTACAACTGACGATTTCTCGAGAACGGTTCACCTCCACGTAGTCAGGTCATGAACGAGCGAGCAGTTTTCTTGTTTTGGGTGTGTCGTGTATCTTCTGAATGTTGATAGTGTAGTGTAAAGAAGAAGCTTAATGATTAACTATTTGTGCGTGTTATTCGTGGCAGAGGGCGTTAAACGTTTGCCTCGAAGCATCGTTCGATAACATGTAGGACTGGGGAGGAATACGGAAGAACACAGGGAAATTGACAGCATAAATACGTGTACCTGCATAACAAACAACGAGATAAAAAAAGGTAAAGGTATCTCTGTAACAGGCCGCGAAAGCCCATAGGGTCGAGGCTCCCGCATTTTCTCTAGACAATCGGCTCACAGATGGCGGTAAGGTAAAGAATATTCCTGGTACTCATTTCTGTTAGATGCTGAGTCGACAACAGGGCCATAGTGCGGCTGGAAGAATTAGGTCAACTGGAAAAAAAATACACCTCATTGGGACTGGAACATGCGACCTTCCGGCTTGTAGCATAGTGCCTCAATCAACTACGCTACCGCGTGCCTCCAGATAATGCTATATCCTATTTAATTGTGAAGGGGTGTTGCAATGTTAAGTAAATAAATAGAGCAACACCGTGATGAAACATGCAAAAATCCTGATAGAATCAGATTCCGAAAACGGATTTATTACGTCCCATGAAGTTGTTATACCGTTCCTAGACAACACGAAAACCTGCGATCAGCGTAAACTCGGTACACACGCTAGTTGCAATCCGGATATATTAAACACGTCGTTGCTAGGTAACGCAATTGAGAATATCGTTTAAATTTAAAAGTACAGTAAACCTACTCTAATCCTGATTAAAGTGTGGAGATCATCAGGATTAACTGATAATCCGGATTAATGAAGCAAAAATTGCTCTAACATAAATAAACTTAGAAAACAAATAAATGGAAAATCAAATAACATAGGCAGTGCTGATGAAAATAAATACAGAAATATCACTGTACCAACTTCTTCGTCTGTCAGAAGCTGAAATCCACGGTCTCCTGCATCCAGCTGAAGCCAATCTCGGATATGCCCTTTATGCAGTCCTCCTCCCTAGCTCTGCTTCGTATGGTAACGACGTTTTGCTTTAATGTCGCGTCATTATGGAACCATTAAAAGTCACAGTAAAGTGGCAATTAACCGCTGTATTTGAGGCTTGAAATTACGTGCAAAAATTAAAATACATCCACGTGTAGCATTGAAGCACATGCAACAACCAAACGAAGCGTCATCCTAACGTTCAACAGTACCAGGAAATTCACGCGATGTTCCCGATTGTTAATCGTAGGAAGGGTTTTAAGATACAACAATAACTATAGGTGTAAACAGCGAACGCATCTCTCTTCATTGTAGAATTGGTTGGTATCTTTATTCTCAAAGTCCCCATCAATTATTATAGTAACACTTAAAGTCACTTTTAACAACGTAAAGGAAAAAAGGTAAAATTTTCCTTGGTCTTGAAGACGTGTGGAGGAGTGGAGTTAGAACTCCAACCTTCTCGGAACTAGATGCAATTAACAACGTAAATACAAAGAAATACTGCCGGAGTCTTCTTCGTTGCTATATTTCAGATTACCGCCTCATCACTAGTACTGTATTATGGACATACGGACTTTACTGTAACCGTTCATGGTAATTTAATGGAACCTTTCGTATTAATTAAACAATTACTAAGTTAAGAGCACGTAATCCATAAACAAAGATCCAGCAGATAGCCGCCTTTTTACACTGAGACGTGAAAGTTAAGTTTTGTTATGTGGACAGGAAGTAACATCTGGTATATTACAAGGAATTCGGTCAGTTTCAGCAGAGTCGACTTTCAATTAACTCTTCCGTTACAAAACAGAGGGTAAAGCTATCCCTCTAACAGGCCGTGGAGGCCTGTGAAAAGTGTAGATTTCTATATTCTCTAGACAGTCGGCTCACACAATATCAAAACTAGTCTCACAGAAATATTGTGTGCAGTTGTAGTTTGGATTCATCTGGCTCAGGTGGTGAGTTGCTGTTAACGCGGTAAAAAAGCTTCAGCACGAGTGAGACGGGAAGTGTATTATTGCTTAGTGACTATCGGTTTCCCAGGAAGGAGATTCTGGAAGGAATTAATTTAGTTATGTACATCATGTAGCCAACAGTCAGACTGACGACATTTTGGGTGGTCAAGCCAAGCTTGACACATCCTTGTGAATATCATAGTAAAACTGCAAGGCATTCATATGGATTCAGTGATTAATTTTTGGACCCACATCGCATCTCACGTTTGTACTGTAAAAACAGAGCACAAAACCAAAAACAAACTGCGTGGCCTGTAGTCCGCAAGCGAATTCTACCGACCGAGCGACCGCAGCTTGTTGGCGAAGTTAGTGCCAACTTTAACGGATAGAGGGTGTCGTGCGGTCAGCGCAACGGATCCCCACGGTCGTTGATCTCGCTTTTATAGACGGGAGCCGCTATTTCCTTGAAATAGCTCCTCAATTATCCTCACGATGTTGAGTAGATCCCGTTCCAGAACCACTACTTCTCAGAAAGTTTGGTAGCGTCGGGAATCGAACCCGGACCTCTGGATCTCTGACCACAGAGGCCGTCCTATAAGATACACAGGGAACGAAATAAAGAAACTACGTAAAACACAAAATTGCGTAGTAACAATGATAAAAGACAAACCTAACGCTTATAAAAATTATGTATCAGGAAAAGATATTTGTCTGGAAGAGAAAATAAATCACAAATAGCATGCCATGCGGCTACTCTACACATATTAACACTTCACTCACATAGTTCGAAGGTGCTTCATGTTGTTAAATGTTCCAGTTTCGATCCGCTCCAAGTTCTTCATCTCGTTCAGCGTTCTGCAAACAGAGAGCAGTACTGGCAGATTCCAAAAGGTTCTGGCGATGGTGTATAATACTCAATATCACTCAATTTTTGGACTTCGTCCATCGTCCGGTATTCTAGAAACTAGAACACACAGCGTTTGGGAAACTGGATCTGTTTCGGTCCTCAGGTGAGGGGGGGGGGGAACACCTGCTCAGCTGAGTCCCCTAGAAAGAGATCCAGTGATTAAGGTTAGCTCTCTCTAAGGGACCCACCTGGGCAGGTGCTTTTCCCCCCTCACCTGAGGACGGAAACAGATCCAGTCGACGTTTCGGCAACTGGATCTGTTTTCGTCCTCAGGTGAGTTTTTAGTTTTTAGAATACCGGACAAAGGACAACGTCCGAAGATCCAATAGGTCTGAGGGAGCAGTGACCTCTGTTAAATGGTTTTCTGCAGCTTACAAGGACATCCTTTCTGAATTCTTTCATGCTCCTACGAAGCGGTGCCGATTTCAAAGACATTTCGTGTGAACGTCAGGTGTTTCTGTGTGATCTCGGAGAACATTAAGCCATAAGCTTTCCCGTACAGTTCTGCTACAGTATAAGAAAGTAACATTAGAAAAGCGATATGTACTTGACAGAATAGAAATTAAAAATACCAGGAAGAAAACCCGCTGTACAGCTCTGAATCAAACGGAACCCCTGCGTAGCTTCCGAAATGAATTTTACCAGTTTCATTTCTGCAACAAATATTTTGTGCTCCAGGAACCGCAATTTGAATAAGGATCGCGTTTTATTGACTGTGGCAGAAACCTCTCTGGCACAGAACACAGTCTTTCTAGAGTCTTTGAAGTTATAGCAGTAGCGATGGCGAGTGAAGTGGCATACGCGAGGTATGCACACGAGAGAGAGAGAGAAAGAGAGAGTGGTTTAGGAGATTGCAGCCTTGACCCGCTTTTGGAGCAGAAAGCGCTGTGAAAATTCTACTCCGAACATGCACATATATCACAGAGAGGGAATAAAGGACAAGTTAGCATTATCTTTTAATACCAATTGAGTCTGAGTGCTTCCGGAAACGACCAGTTGTCTGTGATGTAGAGATCAAGCAAGACGTCATTTGTTTCAAGCATAAATAATACTGTGACATGTCAGACGAAAGACCAGAATAACGGAGACAGAACAGACGCCAGTTGCTGGTTAATGACCGATAAACACGTGTATTTGGCTGACCCTTCCTTCGTCAAAGACGAGGCCCCGTTTCGAAACCCGTAAATGTCTACGAGAGAATAGAAATCTTGGTCACGGATCGCGAGGAGACCGAAGCCAGGAATGCTTTTCTTCTCAAGTTGTCTTTCGGGACTCTTTTCAAGTTCATAGCGTGCATAATGTAGCATGTATAGCCGTTGCTATGCAACGATTGCAATATGAGCGGATATATCATGGCCATTTCTGGGCAACGGCTCGGTAAACATGTTCCTGTTGTTGGGCAGCATATTCTTAATAATACAATAGTTATTTTTATTGCTAGTGGGGNAGTTCTGCTACAGTATAAGAAAGTAACATTAGAAAAGCGATATGTACTTGACAGAATAGAAATTAAAAATACCAGGAAGAAAACCCGCTGTACAGCTCTGAATCAAACGGAACCCCTGCGTAGCTTCCGAAATGAATTTTACCAGTTTCATTTCTGCAACAAATATTTTGTGCTCCAGGAACCGCAATTTGAATAAGGATCGCGTTTTATTGACTGTGGCAGAAACCTCTCTGGCACAGAACACAGTCTTTCTAGAGTCTTTGAAGTTATAGCAGTAGCGATGGCGAGTGAAGTGGCATACGCGAGGTATGCACACGAGAGAGAGAGAGGGAGAGAGAGTGGTTTAGGAGATTGCAGCCTTGACCCGCTTTTGGAGCAGAAAGCGCTGTGAAAATTCTACTCCGAACATGCACATATATCACAGAGAGGGAATAAAGGACAAGTTAGCATTATCTTTTAATACCAATTGAGTCTGAGTGCTTCCGGAAACGACCAGTTGTCTGTGATGTAGAGATCAAGCAAGACGTCATTTGTTTCAAGCATAAATAATACTGTGACATGTCAGACGAAAGACCAGAATAACGGAGACAGAACAGACGCCAGTTGCTGGTTAATGACCGATAAACACGTGTATTTGGCTGACCCTTCCTTCGTCAAAGACGAGGCCCCGTTTCGAAACCCGTAAATGTCTACGAGAGAATAGAAATCTTGGTCACGGATCGCGAGGAGACCGAAGCCAGGAATGCTTTTCTTCTCAAGTTGTCTTTCGGGACTCTTTTCAAGTTCATAGCGTGCATAATGTAGCATGTATAGCCGTTGCTATGCAACGATTGCAATATGAGCGGATATATCATGGCCATTTCTGGGCAACGGCTCGGTAAACATGTTCCTGTTGTTGGGCAGCATATTCTTAATAATACAATAGTTATTTTTATTGCTAGTGGGGCGGGACTAAGTCCCTTGTACTTCGGCCACTTCTGGCCTATTGTACCAGCCCCAGATGATAGGTGAGGGTGATTGTGGAGCAATTGGTGAAATGAAGATTGGCAGGGGAAACCGAAGTACTCGGAGAAAACCTGCCCCAGCGCCACTTTCTCCACCACAAATACCACTTGATCAGACTCGGGATCGAACCCGGGCCGCCACGGTGGGAAGCCACCCACTGCATGACCTCCACGCTCCACCCCAGGTTTCAATCCCCTGGAGTGTTACCTGTGGAGACACCCAAATGCGGCTCCTGTTGACAAGGAAGAGGCACATCGCACTGTGGATGCCTGTCAGACTGTCCGCAACTGCCGCGGCATCCCTGTACGGATGTGGCGCTCCATGATAAGACGTGACGAGGCGCTCACTGAATCTCAAGGAGGACATTTTGAGCACTTGTTATGAATGTACTCTTTCAGCTGTAATTCGCAAATTAAACTTTTCGGACACAAGTTGATATAGACATTTATTCTTCTTTTAGTGTGTGGAACTCGTGCAGAAAGTTTGTCTGCATCTTTCAGTTATACCCTATATATCTCGCTAAGACCAGGGTATACACAAAAGAATTGTACGATTTCAAAAGTTGATAAAAATTTTTTTCTCACCTTACACGGGCACAACACACACCGTCAGCGGCGGCAACTGTCAAGTTCCTCATGCGCTACCAGCAGTTCGCTTCTCATGCTTACTGCGTGGCCGCGAGACCAGTTTCAAAGAGGGCGTTGCAGCAGGAGAAGGCTTTCTGTGTGCTCCGTTTTGAGGTGTCCAGATCTGTGATTACAGTGTAGCGTGAGTTTCGTGCGCGGCTCCACAAAGACGCACCACACAAGAGTAACATAAGCAGGTGGTATCGACAGTGTGCAGAAACTGGATGCTTTTGTACAGGCTAGAGTCCTGGTCGACCTCGTATGTCTGATGGCAACATTGAAAGAGTGCGTGAGGCGTCTCAGCGAAGTCCCCGCAAGTCAGTGGGTACAGGGAGCAGGGAATGACGGTGTGGAAGGTGTTGCGTAAGCGGCTATGTTTCAAACCGTACAAGATTTGTGCAGGCCCTTAAACCAGAAGACAAAGTGAAAAGGCGGAACTTTGCGAGGAGATGCAGTTGAAAATGGAGGAAGATGGTTTCGTACAAAGACTGATCTCCGATGAAGCCACATTCCACATCAGTGGCTGGGTGAACGGACACAATGTTCGTATCTGGGGAAGCGAGCAAACACATGCACAGATTGAGTGTCCAAAAGTCAGCGTTTTCTGTGCGGTGTCCCGCGAGAAAGTGCACGGCCCGTTTTTCTTCGCTGAAGCAACTGTGACTGGCGACTCATTTTTGGACATGTTGGAAAGGTGGTTGTTACCCCAGCTGAATATCAGTCATGACGATTACATTCTACAGCTGGACGGAGCCCCCCCCCCATTTTCACAGGAATGTACCGGTGTTTTTCAATCGTGTTCTTCCACAGCGCTGGATCGGACATGCTGCTGCAAATGGAGACAAAAAACTTCTCCCTTGGCCACCCCGTTCGCCGGATCTTACACTCTGCCATTTCTTTCTTTGGGGGTTCGTTAAAGACAGCGTTTATGTACCACCATTGCCCAAGTCCATCCACGAACTTCGTGATCGGACAACGCATGCACTGCAGGCCATTACAGTGGACATGCTACACCGGGTCTGGGATGAGTTTAATTACCGTGTGGATGTGTGTCGTGTGACCCAGGGTGCACACATTGGCTGTTTGTAATTAGCGCATGAGAAACTTGGACAGTTGCGGCCGCTGGCGGTGTATATTGTGCCCGTGTAAGTTGAGAAATAAGTTTCTTACTAACTTTTGAAACCGCACCATTCCTTTGTGTATACCCTGCATTTTTTGGAGATCAGAATATTTCGAACAAAGGCCATAGACAAATATTAAACATAGACAGGATGTCTTTTTTTTCTATTTACTGCGGTTTTGGAGATAACTAAACAAAATGCATGAATTGAGTATATTTTCGGACACACAATCAAGCACGGTAACTGAAAGTTCTGCAGCTATGTAAACTGGTACGTATTCAGATTCTTAAAAATGATTTTAATACTTGTAAAATGATTAAAATGCGTATATAAGCAGATTGGCTCAAAAGATTAGTAGATACAGAGAACACTTGAACTGCATGCGCAACAAATTTTACACTTTGTAAGCCAAGTGCCGACTAAGTTGGCTCGGAGCGCCGACATTAAATCCACCAGAGCCGAAGAGTTCGGCTGCTGTTGATAAAGGGGTGCAGTATTTCTGCCACAAGATGCCGTCAGATGTGACATACCGATATTTGGAGGAAAAATGTTTTATGTAAAATATATTCCTGTTGCTATCTGACGGTCATTTGAGGATGCGCAACCGCACTGTCCCATAATAGCCTTGGCTCCTACAGAATATAACCTATGGAGAGGTTTGGCATTTAGTTCGTAATTTTATAAATTTTTGGTTGCTAACTGTGAATGTGTCTAAATTGGATCAAATTATCGTTACGAAGACAAGGTTTCGAGTCTTCCTGTAAAGCAAATCTTCTATGATGTGTTCCATACTTACAAGTCCTGTAAGGAGTTCTTGTAGGGCTGCAGCGAGTTGTTCTTCAGAGTACTCATGCCTAGGCCCGAGAGCAATCTGAAACATAGGAAACAACAAACATGTGTAGTAGCATATCTGATAATCTACTCTATGTAACTTCTTTTTCCTTTGGCGCTATAGCCCCAAATTGTGTCTTCGTATACCTCCATGAAACTCTCCGTTTCACTTCGGTTTACTAGATCTTATTCATTCGGTAGGACTCCTTGGGCGGGTGATCAGCTCGTCACAAGGCCTCTATCTGTATACAAACACGAAAAAACGCACATATACAAACACTAAACATCCATACACTGAGTGGGATTAGAACCCACCATCCCGGTTTCCGAGTGCATGCATTAGACCGCTCGGCTACCGTGACCGGCTATCTATGTGACTACTTCAATAAAATGAAGCAATATCTGTGATCTGCTGATTAACACAGAAGTAATTAACGAATTTAAGTAAAGTGAAACAGACGGTAGCGTATTAAAGATGAGCAGCGACACACACACACACACACACACACACAAAGCCTGCACAGAATAATACGTGAACGGTGCTGAAAATATGAAATAGCCGCTGCAGCACATGTAGATATATAATGGGTATCCCTGCGATTTAAAACTTTAAATTTGAATTTTAAAAGTTATAAAAAATAAATTTAAATTAGAATTCTAAAATAAAATTGACGAGCGTATATTGGCGAGATTTTAAACAAAACTTACAGGCTGGTGTTTTAGATTGTAGATTGTGTGCAGTGTGACAGCTACGTACTGAAAAATACACCTGATGATGGCCAGTGGCGGCCGAAACATGTAATGTAGAGGAAGAAAAGACAAAGAACTACAACCAAATAAATTGTTGCATTCACGACGGCATTTGTATTATTACATATAGAAGTGTATAGTGCAACAGGATGCTTAAATATAATATATTTTGTCTTCTCGTCTGCTGTCTAAAGACGTAAAAATTAGAATATACAACAGTAAACTTTTACCNGCGACACACACACACACACACACACACACAAAGCCTGCACAGAATAATACGTGAACGGTGCTGAAAATATGAAATAGCCGCTGCAGCACATGTAGATATATAATGGGTATCCCTGCGATTTAAAACTTTAAATTTGAATTTTAAAAGTTATAAAAAATAAATTTAAATTAGAATTCTAAAATAAAATTGACGAGCGTATATTGGCGAGATTTTAAACAAAACTTACAGGCTGGTGTTTTAGATTGTAGATTGTGTGCAGTGTGACAGCTACGTACTGAAAAATACACCTGATGATGGCCAGTGGCGGCCGAAACATGTAATGTAGAGGAAGAAAAGACAAAGAACTACAACCAAATAAATTGTTGCATTCACGACGGCATTTGTATTATTACATATAGAAGTGTATAGTGCAACAGGATGCTTAAATATAATATATTTTGTCTTCTCGTCTGCTGTCTAAAGACGTAAAAATTAGAATATACAACAGTAAACTTTTACCTGTTGTTCTGTATTGGTACGAAACTTTGTCTCTGACATTAAGGGACGAACACAGGGTGAGGGTGTTTGAGAACAGGGTGCTGAGCAGAATATTAGGACCGAAGACAGATGAAGTCATAGGAGGCTGGAGAAATCTGCATAATGAGGAGCTTCATAACTTGTACTCTTCTCCAAATATAATTACAATGATCATGATAAGGAGAGTGAGATGACCAGGGCATGTAGCACGAATGGGGAGAAGCGGAATGTATATAGAATTTTGGTGGGGGAGCTAGAAGGAAAGAGACCGCTAAGAAGACAAAGACGTAGGTGGGTGGTTATTATTAAAATGGATCTTAGAGAGATAGGATGGAATGTTATCGACTGGATTATTATGGCTCAGGATAGAGACCAGTAACGGGTTATTGTGAACACGGCATTGGACCTTCGAGTTCCATAAGATATTGGGAAATTGTTGAGCAGCTGAAAAACTGACGGCTTCTCAAGCAGGGCTTAACTCCATTGAGTTAGTTATTCGCCTCCTTTCCTTATTTTGAAAAGAAAATATGGCAGGCTTATGAAACCACCTTGCTGTCTGTGTGCCTGCATGTTAATCCCTCATCATCTTTTGAATGCCTGAACCAGTCTTTATAAAACTTGATATCTATTATCATGACAACTGAGCCCATCTTGACGGCGTACTTCATAAATCCCTCCCATCAGTCTGTCTGTATTTGTATCACTTTATCGTTGATAGGAAGCGGCTAGACGAACTCGTCTCCTCGCCAACGAGTAAAGATTAGAGGCGTCGTTTTATATGCGGTCCGCGTCGTAACGAACAAAAATTGGTGATTAGTTCTTCCGAAAACTTCTCGTAAATATGAAATTTTATTAGCTTGAGATTCACCATTGTAATTACGTAGTATGAGGCTTCTACAGCAACTCACTGTCAACCGTTAACATGTTGCATGATTGCAGATTATGTAGCAAGTCACAAAAAAAAAACAAACAAAGTTTTTCGTTTCAATACATCCTATATATTCTGTGATTATTGATAATATTTTGACGCAGATATATAAAGTGTACTATTCTGTATAAATAAGGTTTACGATTGATTATTAGTGTGTGTTATTCGTGGGAGACAAAGTTAAAGTCGGTATCGACGCACTATTCAGTAACATGTAGGACTGGAAGGGAGTATGGGAGAAAGCGGGGGAAGTTAATTGTAGGAACGCTTACATAACAAATGATGAATCATTGGATAACAATTAAAGACGAATTGGAAGGGATCCGGAAGGCAGCGACCGCAGAATAATTTAATGCGATATCACGTCATTTGTCTGGAGAGGCTGAGAGAATTCTGAAGTACTGGTTTCAGGACAATATGTGTTCAGGTAGAGATTCGAATCTGGCACCTCTTAAACAGAAATGAGTATACTACCTGAACCAACTATATCATTTTACAGGACGAGAGGAACTGACGCGGGAAATGGGAAATTTGCTCCTGTGTTGGATTTGAGGTCCTCAGAAACCAGGGTGCTGAAATTCTGTGCAGTGACATAGCTGTGAAAATGTGACGCTAAAATTTACGGAGTTCAGTCAGTACTGCAGCTGTTGTAACAATTCGACACACGGATCATTGAGGAGTGTCAAGGAGTGTGGAATTCACATACGTTTCCGTGGCTCGCGGCAACTTCTTCACCACGTCTGTCTGGCGGGCCTGCACATCACTCCGAGCAGGCGCACAAACTACTGCTAACGGAGAACGGGTCGCGCCATAGCTCAAGCGGTTAGTCGCTGGCTTCCCACCTCGGCGGCCCGGGTTGTATCCCGGGTCTGGTCAAATGGGATTCGTGGTGGACACAGTGGCGCTGGGGCGAGTTTTCTCCGAGTACTTCGGTTTCCCCTACCAATCTTCATTCCACCAAATTCTCCATCATCATAATCAACCGGGGCAGACTACAATAGGCCAATCAGTGGCCGCCGTGCCGAGTGGACCCAGTTGGACTCCACCCCCCACTAAGCGAATTAAATAAATGTGGTGAACGGGTTTCTGAAAAGAGGCACGCGGTATCTTAGTTGGTTGTGACACTACGCTACAAGGTGAGAGGCAACGGGTTCGAGTGCCGATTAGATAAATCTAATTTTCAATTGACCTACTCCTTTCAGCCGCACTATGGGTGTGGGTTAGATTCAGCCTCTAACAGAAATGAGTACCAGGAAACTTCCTGGGAGTAAAGGGCGGCAGGCGCGTAAGACTGACAACCTCACCGCCATCTGTGGGCCCGACTGTCTAGAAAATGTGGGAGCTTCGGAGTTTTAGAACTCTATGGGCCTCCACGGTCTGTTAAGAGTTATAGCTTCAACTTTTACCTTTATGGGCTTCTGAAACGTGGCCCATATACTGGAGCGTTCGGTGACTCAGACTATACAGAGGCGAACGGGAAAACGAGTAATGGGAGTTGAACTGAAGGAAGAGTACGGAGCCTGTTTCAGGGTCCTATCCCGGCATTTGTCTGCAGAGATTTAGGACAACTATGATGAACCTCAATCGGCAGTCCACCCGGCCGAGATTCGAACCTGGCACTTCCGGAATACAAGTCTAGAGCACTGCCGCCTGAGCCAACTTGCTCAGTGATGCCGTGTAGTTTGGCAGATGGGTACCAACGTTTCGGAAGGACATATCTTCCAGACTAGACTAATATTCGCCGCCAACCTGAGAAACTGTGGAGGGTGAAGATAGCTTGGAGAGGTTCTGTACTCCATAGTTTCGGTCACTACAGTGTTGCCAGTAACTCAATGTGAGCAGTAATTCACAGCGCAGGCATCTGTCAACTGCTTCCTCCGTGTCACGCACAGACATGCCCTGAACTCCAGAGGCCTCCACGCGTCTCCGAACTGCTTGCGGTTCAAAACTCTCCAAATTCTGCACGGATGCTACACCCCAGTCTGCCAAGGTGAGTTGATCATTTTCTGTGCAGTTTTTTAACTCACTGAATAATATATAGTGCCTTTCATATGCCTTCCGTTTTAAGTTTTCTAAACTCGTACAGTTACTGACGTCTCTGATGAAGGAGCGTATTAAAACGAAAAGGGAATTTTCCGTTATCTCGTTTGGGGCTGAAGAAACAGAGAGTTTCGGAAGTTCTCTCTGTATCAAACCTACTCTGTTGAATCCAGTAATTGCATTTATACGCATTATCCTTTGTGACCATGCATCATATTTCCGCTGCGTCAGTTTCACTGATATTTTTATATTTTCCTTCTCTCCCAGAAATTCAATTTAAGACATCGGCCTATTTCAGTGTTACCTTTTTGAACTGCAGGTTAAATGAAATTCTGCAGCAAAAATATAAACACATGACACAGTTCAGTTACGTCATGGACGATAGAGATCGTATGTGAAGTTGGGATACTGCAGCTCGTTGTGATGACATGGAAACTGCATAGACGTTCGAAAATATCTTTAAGTAATTTACAGTGAATTAGAAAGGTTTCACTTTCCAGCCTGCCAACCCCCTGCTCTTCTAACTGCACTTTCAGGACTCTCTACTCTCGACTGCACTCGGACTGATTCCCAGGCTGGCGGCCATCTTACACCAACCTCCTACTCTTCTAACTGCCGTCTCAGGGCTCTCTACTCTCGACTGCACTGGGACTGATTCCCAGGCTGGCGGCCATCTTACACCAACCTCCTACTCTTCTAACTGCCGTCTCAGGGCTCTCTACTCTCGACTGCACTGGGACTGATTCCCAGGCTGGCGGCCATCTTACACCAACCTCCTACTCTTCTAACTGCCGTCTCAGGGCTCTCTACTCTCG